GAAGAAGTAATATTTTTTTTTTGTTTTTAGATTTTAAAAGCTCATCAAATATTGGGTTAAATATCGGGGAGGGGGCCGATGTCCGATATTCAGTTTTAAGGCCGATACAGGCCGATACCGATAGGGGGCTGATTATATCGTGCATCCCTTATAAATCCCTTTTCAACGTTACTCCTGAAGAGTGATGAATATCAGCTCAACATTCACTTCTTAGTTTCACTTGTTTCCATGGCAGCAAGGTGTGTTGCAGTTATCTCTATCTAGAGGCTGCATTTCTCATCATAATAGAGTTAACTGTAATGTCCCACATGCATGTAATCACTGTCCTTTAACTGATCAGGATGTCATGTTAAAACCACAGGGTTCAAAAGTCTCGACTTTGAGTAGGTCATTCGAACTTATCAATCTAAATTTGATTATAAGCCATTTAGTTTTAGCTCTGGTTGTGTTTAGAGTTGACCTGACAGGAACTGCCACCTGCACCCCCACCCAAACTTTTCCTGCTGACACCATGTTTCATTATGGGTTTGGTGAGCATAGAAACCTGCAGACTCATCATTCCTTGCATGTTGCATGAACACTGTAAAATACATTCAGTGAACTTTACTATAAAAATGCATTAAAGCTTGTTGCCTCAAATCAAAATATTTTGTTTTATTTTGCTAGTATGTACAGAATGACCAAGTTATGTTTGTTCAAGTCAGCTAGCTTTACTGTGATTGGTCTCTATGTATTTGTGATGTAAGCTTGTATGGGAACCAACCTTTAAGGGGCGCTTTCTTTTCAAACCTGAAAATACTTTTTTTACATAACTCAGTTACAGTCGACAGCAATTGAAATAGTTTTTTAAAAACCTTGTCTTGTTCTGAATTGGTGTTACTGGTATGCATAATTATATTAAAACAATACTCTAAAACACTAATACTAGTATTAGAACTAATGAAAACTAAATTAAAATTAAGCAATTTTAATATAAAAGTAAAATATAAGGTAACCAAATCTAAGAACTACTTCAAATGAATAGAACATAAAATAGGTTCAACTAAATAAAACTGAACTAAACTTTTCTAACCTCGCTGCACAGTCATTGATGCTAGTGAGGGTCTAGAGTTGCTCATAAAAGAGGAGCAAGTACTTCAAATTAGGTTTGCAACTAACGATTAATTTTACGACCGATTAGTCAGCGATTATTTATTTTCTTGACAAAAATAAATCAGCCTACTGTGCACATGTCAACTAACATTTTAAGTACAATTAATTAATAAATCCTATTTAGAAAAATAAAAAAATATTTTTTTAGAAGAATAAAAATGCTAGTATTAATACTACTACTACTACTACAAAATGGCCTTTAAACAAAGAGTGCAATCCTTTTTTAAACATGCATATTTAGGATGCTCTGCGATATTGTTCCAGTCAGGGGAATGCATTGTCCTTCAGCAGAAATTAATCTTTCTTTGGTTCTTTCAACGATCATAGTTTGATGATATGAATTCTCAAATAATAAAATTTAGTAACAAAGTTTTGTGTTAGAAAACTGGTTATGTGGGTTATAATGCACCATTAAGTGAACAATGCTGGATCTTAGCTATTACATTTTTGCGTTAGACACTCACTAGTCTAACGCAGGATGATTTCTCTTCAAGTGCTTATAGTAGTGCTGCCCTGATATGCTACTTTGACTTAACTTAGCTTGTAAGTTGCAACAAAACACATTGCTGGGTCAATAAAAATGACTGCAAGACAGCCTTTAAATTAAAAATAAATTATGCCAGTTGACATTTTTTGTTATTGATGACACAGGCTAATTGTTGCAGCTTTTCCTGCAATATCAATGACAGGATGCAATCAACTGGTTTTAGTTAGATAGGAGCATTTTAAACAACATGTCTGTATTATTTGATGGAATATAAAATATGGAGTGTCTTGATATGACACATGCTGTGAATTTGCACTTTTAAAAGAAAACTGAATTGTTTAGAATTCATAAAATAATCAAGTTATATTAAACACAAAATGAACCTATATGTATCCAGGAGGACACAATATTTCACCTCCTATGTGTGACAGCTAAATGTTCCAAGAAACGTTGAATATATCCGATGAATTTTAGCATCACACTGATGGTGTTGTTTGGCCACACCCACTATCAAAAAGTCAGCCAATGAGGTCACATTGATCAGCGCAACTTCCCACCTCTTTCCAATAATCAGTGTTGGGCACGTTATTTTGAAAAAGTAATTAGTTATAGTTACTAGTTACTTCTCCCAAAAAGTAACTGAGTTAGTAACGGAGTTACTCCACAATAAAAGTAACTAGTTAGTAGTAAAAGTAACTATTGCGTTACTTTTGTGAGTGTATGAAATTAATAACTGGGGATGTCTAAGTCTGAAATCCTGTGTTTGGGTTGTTATAGATACTGCAACATGTAGCTATATCTATCTATCTATCTATCTATCTATCTATCTATCTCTTTCTCCATATAGGCTAACGATCGTTCACGCTCTCCGTAGTTCGAGCATAGTGCGGCTGTTAGGTGCCTTTAGCTAGCATGCGCGATTCCTGTCGCTTGCGCGGTGAATCGTGCCGCCGCGCTGTGCGGTGATGCAGGGGAAACCGTATCTAATGGGGAAACGCAGCTCGACGTAACACCAGTATTTCCATCTGGAAAGCGCTGTTTTTGCCGCTGTAGTCCTCCTAACTCTCCATCCTCCCCTCTCTCATGACGCGCACACAAGTCCTACCATGAAAAAAGGTTAATTGTGCGACCTGAGTAATGTGCAGTAACGGGGTGTCGGCAATTGTAACTGCGTTATAGTTACAGTAAGAGTAATAATTTTGATTACTCGTTGCTAAAAAAAAGGTAGCGGCGTTAGTAACGCCGTTACTTTCAACGCCGTTACTCCCATCACTGCCAATAATACACATTTAATTATAGCATTTGATTTCTATAGAACCTATGTAAGATGAGAATTGAATATTTAAACACATCACCAGGCTTGTGGAGTGTTAAATCTAATAATTACCCTGACAGATTTTTAATGGTACATTTTCATATGTTCTGTCACATCATTGAAGGCATGGTGAACTAAGTCAGCTGGGCAATAAACCAACAGTGGATCCAGTATCAGAGAAGGGGCCCACATTGCTGTCATAGTCACCTTTAGCGACCTAAGCGCATCTCCAGTGGCATACTTGTTATGCTTTGAATAATCAAGAGTCATGTATCTCTTCTGTTCGTTAAAATTATTGTTTCTTTTGTTTTTTTCTGATTGGTTAAAGGATGTGGATAAATACTTAAACTGCTTCAGGAGTTTTCAAGCTACTGCTTTACAGATATAAAGCAGAAATGTTTCAGGGAATATGTTTTATTTTGTCTGGAATTTCAAATTGAAAACTGTATTTTAAAGGTAAATCAGTGCTTATATTGTGGATAACATCTATGTTAAGAAAAAGAAGCAACAGTTGCTTTTACTGTTTGATTTGGTTAAACACATTTAGGAAGAGTGATTTGATTTTTGACTTTTTGGTCAGACTATATGTCTCTGATCAGGTTGCTTTGCCCTGCAGACTCCTGTCTGTTGCCTTTGTAATCCGGCATGTAGATTTTATAATCCCAGTCCAGATTATGCTTCTTATATTAGGTTAGCACCGTCTGCTTTTATCTAGCAATTTTCCTCATATTTTTTAACTGAATGATCTCTGGTAAGGCATACACCTGCTGGCTAAAAGGGAAATTTACTTTGTGGTTGTTGTTGTTTTTTTTTTGCCATTTTACAATTTAGAATACATACTACCCAATTATTGCTGTAGCAGATCTGTTTAACAGCACCTCCATTGTGGATCTTGTCTCCATTGCTTCCTTCATGCTGCTTGTATCCAAACATGAGGACGTCAACGAGCTCCATCATCTCCTGCTGCAGGGAGTTGACCTTTGGGTCTGGGTGTTTCAGAGGTTTAGCCTTTTCTCCCGACTCTCCACACAAACACTCCCACTGCTGATCCAGGAGACTCTTGATTTTCTTAATATGATGAACAATCTCGGATGTGTCTTTGCCCCCATTATCTAACCCACTCCCAGCAGACATCGCCAAGTCGTGGCGCTTTTGAGTTCTTGTGGGGATGAAGGAGCAGGTGGGGTTATAATCGGGTTTGAAGGATCTCAGGATGGTCCCGTCTCCCTCCTGGTCCACCAACACCCTCTCTGCCCGGACCCACAACCCTGGATTCCTGATGATGTGTTCTATCTTCTCATCTTTCCTCCTGCTCTCCTGCTGCTGCTCCTTCAGCAGTGCCACCATCCTCTGGAGGTCCTGCTCGGTGTCGTGAAGCTTCTGCTCCAGCGCCGCTACTTTAGCCTGCAGGGAGGTCACCGTCAGCAGCTCATCCAGGTCTGTGCTGGTTTTCCAATTATGTGTGGGGTTCGTTTTGTTCCCAGTGCTGTTGTAGTGTCTGCGACTTTCCTGCTGTGATTTCATGACATCGTCTCTGCTGTAGAGAGATGAGGGATGTGGTTCTGTTGTTCCATTAACAGATGGAGGGTCACTTTGAACCAAGCCCAGACGGAGCCTTTCCCTTTCCTCCTGTAGGATGCAAATCTGAGCTCTTAACTCAGGAATGACCCTAACCTCCATCTCAAGCTCCCCAACGCGTTCAAGGGCCTCTGTTAGGCGCCTCAGCAGTCCAGAGCAGCCCTGTGGGCGAGGGCTGTCTGAGAGGAAGACATCCTCACAGGAGGTATTTCTTCCTCCTAGACGATCCCTCGAACTCCGGATGCTGCTTCTATCATCCGTAGACTCCGATTCTTGCCTGAGTAACACGGTTAGCGGCATACTTGAGGCGCGCAGGAGATGAGGCCTGATGTGCTCTCCAAGAGGCTGTTCATCAAACTCTCTGATCCTGGCCTCCATTTCCGCCAGAGATGTGAGTCCAGTAGAGCTAGGCAGTCTGTGATCAAAAGTCCAGGAAGAATTCCCATGATGGTTGTTATCAAAGGGTCGGGATCTGGGGTCAAGAGCTCCTGTAGATCTCCACGGATTTTGTTGGTAGCCAGGAGCGGAAGAGTTGAGGTGCCTGGGCAGAGTGCTGGCTCGGGTTCCCTTGCTCCGGCGCTGAATAGGAACCCTTTTGATGGTGTTGCCTTTCTCTATGTCGTCCACGTACTTTAGGAAGTCCAGATCTATTTGGAAGCCGTAAGGTGTTTCCACCGAGTACGGCGGTTTTCCTTTTGCTCCGTTCTCAGCCATTTTATGGCGTGCAATAAGACCTGTAAACAGAAGGTGAGGACGCATTAGAAATACATCTCAAGGTGAATGCAAAACAAATCCCTCCATTATTTCTCAATTAAATTCTACACAAAATGTTCAATAATTCAACAAAGAGAGATAAAAGTTGTTTAGTGTGTGTTTCAGTATAACACTGAATGTATCCCTGGTTTTCTATATGCACAGCAGGATAAAGCAAATTAGAAACCTTCTCCTCCACCCATTAACTCTCCTTTTTCTCCCAAGGACTTGCTTCATTTCTTCCATGCAACATGGAGAGTTTTTTCAGCAGGAGCCGGCCTGATCTCCTTTTGATTACAGCCAAGGTTTCCAGGACGAGGGCTGAAAATAGTTTGGAACTGGTTCGCCCAGCAGTTATGGCCAGCATGGAGAGAAATTATACTCCTACAGACATAAACAGAGTCCGCCATTGTTCTGACTCACTCCAGCTACAATCCATGCAGCTCCTTTAGTTCAGCATCTTCTCTTAGATTTTAAAATTGCTTTTTATGATCGATGACTTCCTCTAGGATGTGTCAGTTAGTTTCTGACCGCACAATAGTTTTCACTCCTCCTTTCTAATGAGCTGATCCATGGAGCTTTCCCACAGTACCCTCCTCCTATATCTTTCTTAAAATCTGACCTCCCCCCCCTCCTGTATTCCCCCTCCCCTTCTCCTGACCACTGATCTTTGCGGGAGCTCGCTGTCATCATGAGGCGCCGCAGCCACGCAGCCGCAGCCCCAAACAATGCAAGCTATGCAGTAAACAGACAAACACCCCCAAATTGCCGTGCTAGGAATCAGAGCGTCTGTCATTTGCACACCCTCTCACCGCCAACAATACACAGCAACAAACACGCAAATCAAAGATAGATGATTAGCTCATTTTGTGAGCTGAGACAAAAACATCACAATGCTGCAAGGTGTGGCAAAATCTAAATGTTTTTGGAAAAGTTGGTCAACCTTTGCACTTAAGATGTTTGAATTGAAGCTCTAGCTTTCGAGAGAAATTTCCTCTAGCTGCAGAAATAGTGCCCTGCAAAAGGTTTGTCACTCTTTGTTGCTTTACAACCACAAATTAGGTATTTATATGACAGCCAAAAGAAAGTAGCATATTCTAGTTAAGTGGAAGGAAAAGCTCCATAAATAGTCTAACCAAGTCCAACTAGCTTGCCTTTGCAGCTTTCATAAGCTAGCGTTTGCTTTCCTCCACATATGGTCCTTCCTGTAGGCCAAAATGTCTGATTTCGGTTAAATCTGTCCATTTTCTACATTTTCTGTGTCTCCTACATTTAAAAAGCTTTTAAGAGCTTTAATTATGGCTTTCCTTCAACAGCTACACTCTTCCTGCCACTTTCCCCTACACTGCAAAAAAACAACCTAAAGAAATATGACGTGCGAGTTCTGCCAAAAGCGCATACACATAATAAACACTGATATTGAAATTAGGGATGCACGATATTGGGATTTTGGCCGATATCCGATATGCCGATATTTTAAAACTCATGTAGCCGATAATCGATATTGATATTGATGTTAAAGCTGGACAAAAATAAGTAGTCATTGAAAATAGCAGTTTTGTTATCCATTTCTGACACTTTGAAAAATAATATACTCAAATATATTTTCATATGCTGATATCAAATTGATTTTTAAAAACGCGGTATCGATCTATTTTACTTTTGAAATCTCGTGAAATTTCATCGTTCTGTTACAAACTCTCGTGATATTTTGCAAATTCTTGTGAGATTTTGTTAGTAAAATAGATCGATACCGCGTCAATATCAACATATAAAAATATGGCAAAATTTCGTGAATTTTCGGGGGATTTCGTAGCATAACGATGACATATAGCAATATTTCATTAGTAAAAGAGATTGATATGGTGTTTTTAAATGGCAATATTTCAGCATATGAAGAAGTTTTTAAGTCTGTAAAAAATAAGTTTTTGAGGAAGAAGAAGTAGTATTTTTCTTTTTTTTTTAGGCTTTAGAAACTCAAAAGCTGATCAAATATCAGGTTAAATATCGGTGGGGTGGCCGATGTCCGATACAGGCCGATACCGATAGGGGGCCGATTATATCGCGCATCCCTAATTGAAATTGTTGTTTGAAAGACACACATGTACTCTACTCTCAATGGATATTTTGCATGATTTATGCAGAATCAGAGCATAAAGGCCATTTTGTTTTTTTAATTTATTTTTTTTGGGGGGTGGGGGGGGGTTTGGGGGCACTTTGCCGCCCCCTGCCGCTGAGCTTGCACTTTTCCCTAAAGGATCTCTTATCTCTTAGTTATTCCTAACTATTTATTTTTCATTTTACATATTCTCACATGAAGATACATGTTAGCTTAAGGGATAGAATTACAATATTAAAATAACCAGCAACTTAGAATTGCTAATGTGATGGGTGCAAAATTAAAAGCAATATTAGGTCAAATTAAAATATCAAGGTCCAAGAACTTTGAAAGGCAGCACTCTAAAGAATAAATGTAAACTTGAAAGATAAGTACCCTAAGAATATTACAATAACCAAATGTTATGCAAATGCAATGGAGGGGGTGAAGTACGCAAGGTTTGCAACTTCTTTTCAACGTCTATTATTGGACTAAAATGGGACTTTTCTGGACTAAATCCTGACTATGATGGACCGACCAGATTTAGCCTAAAAACCAACTTTTAAATGACATCTGGTGTTTTTGGGGGATGTAGCTTATTTGCCTTAGGTTTGCTTTAGTCTGTTAACTGACAACATCAAAATAACCAAACAAGATTTTCAAAGGTCTGAAAAAGCGTGAATTAAATCAACTGCTGTTCTTTAACCCTTTAGAGGCTCTATCCTACCATATAAAATTGTTGTAATGGTGGACAGTAGCATTATCGTAAAAATCGTACTCGTACTCGTCGTCTCCCGCTTTATCCGGAACCGGGTCGCGGGGGCAGCAGACTAAGCAGAGACTCCCAGACTTCCCTCTCCGAAGACACCTCCTCCAGCTCTGTTGGGGGAAGCCTTAGGCGCTCCCAGGCCAGTCCAGGGACATAGTCTCTCCAGCGTGTCCTGGGTCATCCCCTGGGCCTCCTCCCAGTGGGACGTGCCTGGAACACCTCCCGAGGGAGGCGTCCAGAGGGCATCCGAAGACTCCTCTCGATGTGGAGGAGAACCGGCTCTACACTGAGCCTCTCCCGAATGACCGAGCTCCTCACCCTATCTCTAACGGAGAGCCCAGCCACCCTGCGGAGAAAGCTCATTTCAGCCGCTTGTATCCGGGATCTCGTTCTTTCTGTCATGATCCAGATTTCATGACCAATGGGATGACGTAGTTCTGCTGGCTCCCTCTTGCCAAGACCTACAGCGTGCGCTGGGGCGGTTCGCAGCCGAGTGTGAAGCGGCCGGGATGAGAATCAGCTTCTCCAAGTCCAAGGCCATGGTTCTCGACCGGAAAAAAGTGGCTTGTCCCCTTCAGGTTGGAGGAGAGTCCCTGCCTCAAGTGGAGGAGTTCAAGTATCTTGGGGTCCTGTTCACGAGTGAGGGAAGAATGGAGCGGGAGATCGAGCTGCTGCAATAATGCACACGCATTATTGCTCTCAATTTACCGGTCGGTCTATGTTCCTACCCTCACCTATGGTCATTATTGTAACGATATAAGGCTGCAAATTTGGAGACACTACATAGTGGATGGGACGTGACGGTTACCAGCTTAAGCTTTTCCACAACCTTCTCCTGCTGTTTTCCTTTGATCAACCATTATGGAACCTACAGATCTACTATAGAAATGAAACTAACCAATCAATATTTATGATTTATTGCTTAAAGATACAAGAATCAAATAGAAATGGCCAAAACCATTGACTTTGGTTGTTGTAGTATTGCTTATATCATTACACCCCTAATAGTTTGGGTCATGGAAGTTTCAGGGGTCCCAGAGTGAAGGACATTTAAATGCTAATTCAAACAACACTGAATCGTCCTCCTTCCACCTCCAAATTACAAACCTTATTGCAGTTGTCCTTCACATGAAATACAGATAGATTTATGATGGTAACGTTAGAAAATGTGAAAAACATCTGACAGGTTCTGGAAGCTATAAATACAGTCATTGTTTTTATTCCTCTAATACTTAAAACACCATCAAGTTCCAGGATGTTGTTATCGCCATCATGATCTTTGACCCTTGACAGAAATCTGCTCACCATCAATCTAAGGAGTGTGAGTTTGTCACGCACAAATGTACGAGAAGCTGGAGCACATATCTGGCAGACACGTCAAAGAGACCCTAAGTCAGTTTAAAGGCTGTGGGAGATTGTTCAGACAACTGCTCTCCAGTTACACAAGCAAACTAGTTGGTAATGACCTGTAAAGCTAATGGAGTAAAGAGATGAATGATTAATCTGTCTGAAATTTCACATTAAAAAACAAAACTCTGGGGGTTGAATGGGGGGGACTTTGATTCCCGTATAATCAGAAGATACTTTTTCAGACAAACTGGTTTCCAGCCATCCACCAGACATGTGATCAAAGCTGCCTGTTGTTGCCAATAGGCTCTCTGTTTCCTACTTATAAATATAGACCTGGACATTTCTCCCAGCCCAGGTTACCACAGCGGAAACAATATAGGAGAATTAGGGTTAGGTAATTCCCCAGAGTCATTGCCTAACTATGTCCACATGTCCGTGGCACATATTTTAATTGTCTGTGCTCGGAGCAGTGGGCCCACCTCACAGGAAACCCAAGAAATGAAACGTTAAAATATTCGCCTAACCCCAAACAGGCCCCAGCAAAACAGCAGCCGCTGCACACTTAGCTTCTAAAGTCAGAGCTTCACTTTTTTTTTTTTTCATTTCAAACAAGTCAAATCTTTACTGTCACTTCTTGTTGGGACAGTTTTGTCCCTGTCCAATTACAGCTGCTCGCCTCCTCTGGGTAAATACGGCCCCGCTGAGACGTCTCCTCAAACTCACCCTGCATCAGCATAAAACTCATAATCACACCAAGTCTGTCCACAGCATTCTTTACCAAAACCCACAGCAGACTGGGGTGATCTCTGAGACTAGTGATTACAAAGGCTTAGAAATGGCCTACCATTAAGGGTGAGTGTGCTGATGGATGCTACCTGTACAGGCCGGATGCAAAATAGCTCTCCCTATTAGTCCTGTCTGAAATATTCAAGGGAAAAAAGGCTGTTTGGCCTGAACTGTGCATAGGTTTTAAAGAAATTTTAGTTGGATTTAGACAAACTTTATTGTCATTTTGCATACACTGAGTATATACAAAACAAAAACTTTTTTTGTACAGCTGTCATGACATTTCCATTTCTTAAAGTGCAGAAGTGATCAAATGTAAACATTTTTGGAGGAAAAAAACAATTGAAAATTGTTTAGTTGATACAAGCTAATATGTATGTAGGTAGTATGTAGATATACATATGCTTGAATACCTTAAGATACTATTCAATCATTCAACCGTTCCCTTTTATTTGTTTTGTTAATTTCATTTAAATTTTGTATACATGAGAGCTGTTTTGTACAGCTCTCATGACTTTTTTATTTCTTAAAGTGCAACAGGGATCAAATGTAAACATAAGACTGTGATATGAGGTACAGTTTTTCCATAATTCAGCTTTTTTTCAGTTTTTTCTAACATTCAGCAGTCTGATGGCAGTAGGGAACAGTCCATGAAGCTAGTTGAAGCTACATTCCCTATAAAGGCATAAAGGGAATGATAATTTAATACACATCTAACTTCAGACATTAATCATGACCTCTGTTAATGGATTCACATTCATACTTAAAAATAAGCTTGGAAGACTATAAAAAGTGTGGTATACATCAATACCCACTAAACCAAGACAGGAAGATCCAATAAGAACAATAACCCAACCCTTCCAAGCTGTCAGCTATCTGACAGGTTGTCAAGATCGGGTTTTATAAATGTTTTTATGATAAATGATGGCTCCCTGCTGGAGTATTATTTTTTCATTTGTTTGTTTTTATCGTTGTTAATGATTATTTACCTCAAAAAGCAAGATGAATTGTTGGGAAATTTGTGAATAGAGAAGGAAAACTACCAAAAAAACATGTTCAAAGAAGCCAAGAGATGCATTAGCCTCGATATTAGGGGTGGAATGGTTCATAAAATCCACGGTTCGGTTCGGTTCACGGTTTCGTGGTCACGGTTTTTGGTTCGGTTCGGTATATGTTGATTGTTAGCCTGACATGTAGGTCGTTTTGATGTTAGCATAAACAATACGTGTTGCACAATGCTTGCACACTGTTGCACTTTTATCCACAACTTTCTTTCCGCCGTCATCGTAGGTCACTCTAAATGCAAAGCGGTCCCATACTGCAGACCTATAAAGTGCTGCTGGCGCGTCTTCCAACTCCTGTTCTTTCCCACTCGCCATACCCACACAATTCTCCACAACAACTGATTTTTTTCTGCTACACCCGGCTACGCTGCTTCGCTTCTTTTTGTTTACTACCGGTGGTTGGTTTTGGTCACCGTACCGCCACCTTCTGCTCTGGAGTGTACACGCTTCGCCTATGAGAAAAAGGAGCAGCGCGCGAATCGAACGCAACACACGCGAATTGGACGGTTTTCATAAACCATTCCATCCCTACTCGATATAGAAATGTTTTGGACCAATGAAATGCAGGGACGTGTTTGACATCAACCAGAGGCGGAGGGCTAAAACAAAACAAACATGGCTGCGCTAGTTTCAGTTGCAGTACCCTCTGCTGCTTTTTTAAAAACAAGCATAGGGACCCTTTTTGTGCGTTGGTGGATGAGTAAGGTGTCGGTGCTTTCCTCCTTCGTGGATTTGGTAACAGTTCAATTCATCAGCTAACTCGGCTAGAATGTCCTATGTCACAGCTGCTATGATTGGTTAGAAGCTTGACATGGGAGGCAGGGGCCACTTGTTTTAGCCAATCAGCTCAAGAATTGTTCTGAATGTCCCTCCCTTTTTGATAACACCTTCTACAGGCCTCTTACCAAATTTGCACCATGTAGAATTCCAATTGAAGGGCATTGAAAATTATAGCCTTTCTATTTATAGTTGCATTGTATACTTCCTCGATGCATTACAGCATAGTCAGGACTTATTTAGCAGTTTTGTTAATGGTCACCATCTGTTCAACATTTCCGGTGGTTCAGAGATCCTGCCAGCAGATGGCACCACATCTCTTTATGTCCATTCTTTGAGTCCTGTGCTGATGTTCTATTTAGGCTCAAAACACAATCAGGATGAATGCTTGGAGTGTATAGCCTTATTTGATCATAATAAATAAAATTTGTGTCTTTGTATCTATACATATAATATATATATAATAATATATAATAAAAATATAATAATCTGAATATGGACCTTTAAAACTCTTTTAGGTGATGCTGTTTTCTCGTGGAATGTTATGTATAGTCCATATGTTACCTGCAATAGATAACTTTCGGCGATTTGTGTAGCATACATTTTGCAGTATCATTCTGTATTGCTGCCGTGTATTGCTAATTTCATCACATTAGCTTTTAGGATTTTTTTTTTTACACACATAACAGTTAATTGAGAAATAAAGGAAGTGCGTGGGTTGCATCGAGTGAAACAATGTTGGATATAGAATATAAGCAGCATTTAATAGAAAAAAATATTACAACACTTTGAGGGGAAACACAAATATTTTAATATCTTACACTGCCTTTAATATCAGACAGTTACCTTGGGAACATTTGACATGCTTTGTCCTCGGTATATGTTTCACACAGGCAGATCAGATGTGGCGCACCTCCTCCTACCTCCATTTCCTGTAAAAATGGAGGTCTGCTTCTATGGAAATAGAAACTAGAGTTTCTTTCTATCTCTGCCTAACCGTTAGCTTTAGTCTCCAGAACCCGCTAATTTGGATTAAAGTAATAGTCAGGGGGGCCACCAGGAATTTGGGGCCCTATGAAAGACATTGATATTACTGCTGATTTTCTTTTTATATTTGAAAAATATAGTGGGACAAATAATTTGTCCCCTCCCCCCTCAGTCAAGGGCCCTTAAGGGCTAGTTATACTACCGCAGCAGTGTTTTGCAGTGAGCATGTCGTGGGTATGACTCAGATATCTTTGATTGATGCCCAATTTTGAAGCGTGGTCTGCACTATGTTATTCCACGCCACAATGCAAGACGGACAATCACGCAAGGGGGCAAGTTTGTACGACAACAGAGGGACATGAGGGTGAAAAAGAGCGGGGATCCAGGTGGAAAAAGCGTCCCAGCATTCTCACACACGTCGCTCTTCTAGCTTGTCCATCTTCACGAGTCGTTTTCCACAATGGCGGTCATACAAACAAAACAAGCCATTAAGGTAGCACACAGGAAATACAGAGCGGATGTAGATTTGACCAATCAGAGGCCTCCTTTCTGCGGCACTGTCTGCGGTCACCTACAACTTTGGAGAGTGTCTGCGGAAGGGGCGGGGCATATCTGCGTTAACTGCGACACACATGCAGCATAAACCAGGCTTTAGAATCGTCGTAACTCCCCCGAAAAATTAAAAATGGAAGATGCAGTTAGTAAAAACGTGATGGAACACAGTGACACAGTTTGTAACATAATTGAACCCAGTCTGTTAACTCAGTTAATAAAGAATAAAACTAGATTTTTTTAAAAAGCAACATTTTCTTTCTTCCATTTTCACTGCTTTATGCCCTCAACACTGAACCCAAAATATACATATGTCTGCATGTTTCACCATCTCTGTTCTGTTCCTGGAAAAATCCCCCCCACCCCTCTTTTTGGCCGTACAACTTGTGGTTTCTTCCCAGCACATAGTTTTGAACCTCATCTTCTGTTCAGAATTGATTTAAGAGCCAAAGCCAACTGTTTAGATTTCTGCTCCCTCCATCACCACAAACTTGCACTCTATCAGTCTCCTATTTTTCATATGAAGCTCATATTCATAACTAACTGCTTCCAGGGTTCCTAGAAGCAGATCCCCTATGATGTTTATTCAGTTATTCAGCTTCTTGGGACTTTCTTTTTGGGTTTCTAGACTCCTTCTGGTCCCTTTCCAACAGCAACAGGGTCAGAGTTGCAGTGTGTCATATCCAAAGCTTCGTTGCATGGCAGAAGCAGCTGCCCAGGGAGGGGAGGAGGGTTCATGATAGGAAGAAAGCAATGCCATGTTAACATAGCTGGGTTAAAATAGAAAGTGTGCCGCCTCTGTGCGTGTGTTTACATGGTCACGCATGTTTGTCAGTTCAGCTGAATTCCCCAGCAGCATGCACATTTAAATGTCAGCAATTAAACGTAGTTTCTTTAAGAGGCAAATATCTTGCGTTGAAAGTCTTGCTAATAATCATTTCTAGGATGTTGCTTTAATTCTCACATTTTTGAAAAATCGAAATACTGTCAACTGTTTTGTTTTTTTGTTTTTTTCAACCTGAATTGAAAGCAGACAGTTTTTTTTTTAATCAAAGCAGTCAAGGTCATCATCTCTAAATTTGGCAAGAACCCAATTCTTTAACCTCCGGCTGCCTGGAGGGATGCTACAAGGTGAATATTATATCGTTCTTACCTCGGGACATGCTCGACTCTTTCCTTCACTTCGCAGATTTGGCCTGTCAGACGGTCCTCTGCAACTCTGCATTCAGCTCTGCCTGTCTGTATCCTCAACAGGCTGGGAGGGCGGCATGCCTCGGCTGTCTGGGAAATGCCACAGCGTGGCCCCTGCCATAACAGAAGCAGGCTTTGCTTGTGTGTGTGTGTAGGAGAGCACCGAGCGAGGAGGAGCTAAGAACACGCCTTCCTAAGCTGCCTCCTGTCCAGCAAGACAGGCTGATTGAGAGAAAGGCATAAACTGACAGAACCACACCCACTCCACCAGACGGCAGCCAGAAATACAGCTGGTGAGGGAAAGAGAGGCATTCTGTAAAAGTTTGGGTCATGTGGCAGAACGTGAGGAACGATGTGTTCTGACCATGATCCAAGGGGGGAAGATTAGTAACCAACAAACCAAGCAGCCAGACAGAAGCTTAAACTCTGATCTCCTGTGGTGATGATGCTGGAGCGTTCAAAAGGCTCGGTGTCATCCAGGGGAGTAATTCTCAGAGTGCCTACCTCTCTGTCTTTCCAGATCTTCTTTCATCGTGTTTCAAAAATCTCCCTCTGAGGCAACAACATCATGCCAGTTAAAGGCTTTGCCCTGCTCTAATGCCAGAGGGTCATAACTCATGGTTCAAGATGGCCTGACCTTTGCAGAGACAGATCTTTTAGCCAAACAGATAATTTTCTCGGAAAAGAACATTAGCCGGTGACAGATAGAGTTCCCCAAAAAGGTTGGAGTATGTATCTGGGCTGCTTCTGACGATGCTTTAGGGCTAAAGTCTTTTATTTATCCAGAATACTAACCCACACTTACTGCCGAGCCACATTTAAAAAAATGCATAGATGAAAATGCAAAACATTTACTATTTAATATATTTTACGATTAAAACCATTTATTCCTGCTGAATGTCAAAGTAATAAGAGATATTATTCTGGTACTTTCTTGATAGTCAAATATTTGCATCTAATTAGATTAGTCAACCTTTAACTCTAAAAATGGACCAAATGACTTTAAGGAGGATTGATCTGACACTGGTATAGGAAAGTTAATAGAGAAACACAAAATAAAAAATAAGGACTTTAACATGCTTTACAAGTTGAGGAAACCTGCAAAATCTGCAGTGTCTCAAATATTTGTTTGCCAGAATTTTCTAAGCCTTGGAAAGAAAGCCACACCTGGCAATGTCCTGTAGTAAGTAAGCGGTCAAGTGTTGCGTTTTTATAGTGCTTGAAGTGAAGTGAATGTGATCTGTCAAATGCAATTTCAAAATATAATAATACTAAATCTGAAGAAGAGAAATTTGAAAAAATATTTAAAAAATATAAGATCTGTACAAGCTTTTTTTCTGTTTTACCTTTATGCATTTTCCCAAAATTAAACCTTCCTTTTATTCCACACCCCTTTCAATCCTAATACAGGCTTCATCTTTATTTTGTTGCTTTATATAATTTTAGTACTTATAATATCTATGGTCCCCTAGAACATCTGAATGACTAGTAAAGCTCTTTGTGGTCTGATTAGTCCTTTGGCTTTTTGATTTCTGGTAAATCTCTCTCTCCATTTAGTTTTGCTGTCTTCATCATCAAAAATCACATCGGATCTGTGATTCCCATCAATTCCAGTCCACAGACCTATCAGCAGAAAGTTAAGTCTAAGTCAAAAGCAAAACAAACAAGGCAATGCACATGAAAGATTGAGTAAAGAAAGGCAATGTAAGACATTAGCCTGGCCATGAATGGAAAAGGAATTAGCAAAAGATCCTCCTTTTTCCATTACCAGCATACAAGTGAGTCTAAGAGGGATTGTGGTTTGATCAGAGGGAGAAGGAGGAAAGAAAAGCCTTTATTGGACCAAAAAACTGCTGACAGACTGACCACATGCTGATCGTAATTTGGCCAAACTGCAAGAACCTTTTCAAAGTCATTCTCACAGAAAGATTTAGACCTTAATCATTTTTGGTAGATTGGGGTATAAATCTACTTTGGAATAATCTTACAAATGGTCTAGAAATTGATGATGAACAGATACAGATTTTTAGAGCAGCAAAGCAAAACATGTAAGTCCAAAAGAGGCTGTCTTTATTTTCTTTGGGTGGTGGGAACTGCTAACTGGTGGAAACTACTGTCAGACCTCGGAAGGTTTTTCTGTAAGCAGGAATCACATGAAACCTCTGCAGATTGTTTAAGAAAATATTAGCCTCATTCAGTTATCCCAGACATGTAGTTATTCTAGCAGATGCCTTTTGTCTTTTAGCATCTTTAACAGTAAATGTTTACAACAAGAAAAGGGGGCAGACAGTCTCTGTGGGGGTATGGCCCTTTGCAGAACTAGAATAACAGAGAACAGATGGAGGAATCTGAAGTTTTTCTGTTCGCTCAGATGTCTGTCCCAGCTGGCATCTTCATGGAGTACAAATCAGCTGTAACCATAACTATTCAGAAACCTTGTTGGCCCGATGAAACGGTCTTGTCATGAAACAGACTCTGAATCGAATCATTTATGAACAAGGCCACAGACCCCCCACTATTAAAGTCATGTCTTCATTCAGTATAAAGACTTTTGGAGGAAATTCTGAGGTCACTAGATATGTTGATTATTAGTGGTGTTTAAAAACAAAAGCAGTTTTTTTGGTGAAGAAACATTTGAGGTGAATAGTGGTGGCATTCTTAGCTGCAGCACTGGGTACAGAAACCTGTTGTGACTACTGTAGTATCACCTCAGTCAACAGTGTTTAAAGTAGAGGAAAGTAGAGATCCACTATCCCTCCGTGTGTCATGGTTCTCACCTTTAGTTTTCAATTATTAGTTATTCTGTTTTGTTGATCTTTTGTTGGTGTATTTCCCATTATATTTAAGCAGTCTTTAGTTACTCTCTGTTGCCCCCTTGTGCTTGTTTCCTTTGAGTGGTCGAAATGTTCAAATGGTGCACGGGGGATGGAGCAGTATCAGTACTTTTTTTTTTTTTTTTAACAGTGTCCTGTCTGGCAATG